CCGGCCAAATGTTCACGCAAAGAAAGAAGGCGTAACTTCTATTCTCGCTGTAGTATTGTTGTGAAGGCACTGTGTTTCTCGTTGTGAAAGCGAAACTACTTTGTTTGGCCTTCCAAAAGAGGACGATATTTGCTTCGTCATGCCTAGAGCTGATCCGTGCTGGTCACTGAGGAAATACATCAACTTCGCGCTGTGGATCGCCGGATCGGCTTTCACCGTGGACGACGTGGAGTCCAGCCCTGTTTTTTTTTACTTTAAACCGCATAAACACATTTTATTACACCAAATACACAAAATAATGTTCTTTTTAGCTACATCATAGGACCCCTTTAAAAACACACACACAACGTCCAATGGAGGAGAGTGAATACTTTTTACAGATACTATATAATTCACCATATTTTAGGTTCTGGAGAAGACAAATTCAAGATAAAGTTTGATGGCAAGTTGTCACTTACATAAAAGCTGTTAAGAGAGACAGCTGTCTTTGACAAAATCAAAGACAAAGTAATTTGAATTCACAACACTCTAATATCAATTTCATCAGTGATTGGTCATACTATTGTTTTTGCAATTTAATTTAAACCTTTCAGTGCTACAGTTCCTAATAAAGGTGCCAGCCAACTGGCTGAGTTTTATTTACTTACTGAAGCTAATTTGTTTTTGCAACTGGTGCTTGGCGAGTGTTAATTATGGACCCTGTAAGCATATAAAATGATGAATAATTAAAAAGGCCTCATAATAAGCACTTACTGTTACTCTAACAGTAGCTAAGCAAAGATGGCCTCTAAAGCTTCTAATGTTTTATGAATGAGGCCACGGGACAGGACTTCAATGATCAACCCAGCACTATGACACCTATTTCTTCCCCTCACAGCTTCAAGCTTCATGGTTTTAACAAGGATATCTAACCAGGATATCCAACCAGGATGTATCACCCTTTTATCCGGATTTACACTGTCTTGGATAAATGGAATGTGGGTCAGGGGTTTTGGGATCAATCATGCTATAGCACAAACTCTGGAGGTATGGGTTAACAAGACGAAAGAAAAACAGTATTGTCATTGTGATACTAATGTCACGATACAGAAACAATACACTGGTAGCACTTATTTTCCATTTCAAAGCATTGACTATTGAAAACTACATTACCCATAATTCTGTGAAGAAATCTCCACTAATCAGAGATTTCAATAATAATAATAATTTTTAGCGCCCAACACCTAAGATCACACAGTCTAGCACCAAAACCACTGAAAAAGTAGACAGGCACTGTTGCACTCTTTTGCAACCAAAAATGATAATATGTACTGTATCATGACCCAAGTATCAACATAGAATGGTGAAGAAGGAACATAGATGATTCCCAGTTCAACTGAGCTCTAGATGAAGGGTCAAGCAGGTCAGGGAGTCACTACTAGACAACGAAAAATTGGTCAAATGAAAGGTTTAACAACAAAAAAAAAAAGAGACGCCAAAAATGTCAGGCACGGTCACATGACACAGATCACAGGCAGCTGATTGGTGCATTACCCTGTCAGGTGATAGGTTGGAGATGCAGCAAGCAGAGAGTGGGTGGTCCACACCACAAACGAGTGCCGGTGGCTGCCAAAAACAACGAGAGATATAGCATCACTAAACACACGCACATTCCCAGAAAACATGCAAACACACACGGCACGAAGCGTACGCTGCACAGACACACAAATGACAAGTGTCAATCGACAAACTCAAGAACAGGACAGACAGAGAGTGAGAAATCACGAGGGTATTCATTCAGTTAAGCAGTTTAGATTGATCTGAGCCTCTAAATTACTGACAAATTAAATGATAATTGTAGTGAAGCAAATCGGCTTGATGAAGACAACTTGACACGAAATGGCAAAGCATGACACACACACCTGACTCTGCTGATGGGATCAAGATGAGACATGACAAAGACACGCACAAACCTTTATCCACTAAAGAAAGATGGGTTAAATGATCTAACAACTAAACTCACACTACGCACTAACCATCCACAACATGTGATGGAGAAAGACAATGACAGATGTTTAGTGAAGAGGGGAGAGAATAAGATAAAAAGGCGGTAATGCAGAAAGAGTAAAAGAGAGAGAGAGACATAGAGAGAGAACAAGGGCAAGCAAAAGAGCATTAGCATTATTCTTTAATAATTCTGTATTATGGGGAACAGGAAGAACAGAGCTGAACGAGACAGGAGAACAGCTGGCCTGTCTCTCTCTCTCTCACACACACACACACAGACGGACCTCGACATATTCTGCTTTGATTAACCAACATCCTTTTTAACTCTCCTGGACCAGATCCCTGCCTGTTAATTAGGATTTGATCGCACACGCACACTTCTGCTCTCTTTTTCTCCTGATTCAGATCATATCTCTGCAAATCAGTTCAGTCACCCTGGGCATTCACTCCTTAGAGAGGAGAATTAGAAACCCACCTGAGGTCTGTCTGATAATGACACATCAAACATTAACAAATGGGTGAAAAGAGAGAGAGCGAGGGAAAGATATGATGGGTTTGATATTATAAAATGTGTTTTTGCAGCTAAATATAACTGGCATTCTGTTGTGCCCTTTCTAGATCATTCTTCCTAAAAAGACATAGTGAAGGACGACTTTAAATCTAGGACAAAAGGCTTGAGGGAGGGAACATATACATGCTGTTAGAGGAACCGCAGATTCAAGACTTTAAGTTTTGATGTTCAAACTGGAGCAATGCAAGATCAAGGTGTCGATTTTGTCGATTAAAGGAAAGGGTTACAGGAACTTTCCAGGAACAGCTTAAGCTCTTTCAGCTGTATCCACATGATGTTGTCAGTTACCTCAGGATATCATGTCAACTCTCCCCCTCAGGTTATAAAAACAGGAAAAGCAGTAATGCACTTACAATGGCAGTAATGCGTCTTTTATGCACAGCAAGGGTGCATTTATTTGCTCATATACAGAAAGAAAAAAAAGGAATATTATTTCAATTTAAAATAACACTTAAAATATATTTTAAAATGTAACTTATTCCTGTGACGGCAAAGCTGAATTTACTCCAGTCTTCAGTCATGATCCTTCAGAAATCATTTTAATATGCTGATGTGGTGCTCAAAGTTAAAAACAGTTGTGCTGCTTAATACTTTGCAACATTTTTTAGCATTCTTTGATGAACAGAAAGTTCAAAGAACAGCATTTATTTGAATATAATTTTTTGTAACAATGACATGTAAATGTGTTTACTGTCACTTGATCAATGTAATGTGTCCTTGCTGAAATTGAATTCAAAGCTGAATTGTCCCTTTGTGGTGGGACTACTTTTCTAAGTGAATGAACATCTGATTACACATTACTGATGTCATTTTGTTTAATTAGTGATTATTAAAATAACAAATTTACAGGCTGAAATCAGACATTATATGGTACTATATGATATAATCAGAATCAGAATGAGCTTTATTGCCAGGTATGTTTACACATACGAGGAATTTGTTTTCGTGACAGAAGCTTCCACAGTGTAACAGAATGCCACAGTGTAACAGAATTTTGTCGATGAATAACGTGACTAATGTGCCACTCATTATTTCATCATCCAGTGTAGGATCGTGTGAGTGGCTTCACACTACTGGTGTGAAAGTGCATGTAAGGACTGAGTAATTTGTAGGCAGAAATGTATGTGGGGTTAATTTTTTTTGTTTTAATGCATATTGAAATTCCAGAAAAATCCTCCCGATTTCATGCCAGGGTGTGCATGACTCACATGGCGACTCAGATTCGCTCGGTGACACACACAAACAGATTTATCCCCACTATAATGAGGAGATTGGAGTGTTGATTGAAAGGGTGAGGATTAGGGATGTCAACGATTAATCGATGATCGATTAATTGTCGATAAGAGATGCAATCGATTAAAGCTATCGATGGTCGATTAAGCCGTTTAATTTTGGGCTGCGTGCGGCTCGTGCGCAAAACACGTGCGAGCGGCTGTGAGTGACGGTGACGGTATATAGGATTATCTTTTCCGTCTATATGCGAATGCATGTAAAGTACAAGCCTAACATACATTATAAATAATAGTTTAACATTCAAATACATTACGAATATGGAAACATTTGGATTTGTGCCGAATGAGACGTGAGTAATAACCTCCAAATACATCTAGCCAAACCCGCGCTCGCTCCGTCTCGTATGCACGCAAGCATGCACTGTCACGATCTAATGCACTGTAAATGCCGGATTTTCAAAAACAAACAGGCCTACCGGAACGTAAAAATTTAAAATCTGACATTTTCCGAAACACGGGTTGAGCAGGATCAAATTAAGTACTGGTCATAATACTCACATAAAAATGTTTCAAGTGAACAACAGTCAACAAAGTAAAATGATCTCAAACGTACGGCGCGCTCTCTTCATTTTATCAAATGATCATATCTATTCATTTTACAATCCTGCTACTAGCATTTTATTCAGACTAAAACCCCTTTAATTCGGGTGAGAAAGCGGGGTTTTTTTTGAGTGGCGTTTGCACATCCTGTCATGCCGGTGACTGCGTGCTGCTGCAATAGATGCATTTTGCTGCATTAAAGTTAACGATTAATCGATTAATTGATCGTTAATTTAAACGACGATCGATCATGGAAATTATCGAAAATTGACATCCCTAGTGAGGATACAGAGTCAGCAAGAGCTCAGATACTGACAGATTAAGCATGACACAAAGAGATCTAACGAGCACATCATGTTACAAGACAGACAATTCTGTTCAAAACTGGGAAGGAAAAAAACAATACAGTCCAAATGATACACATGAAGAGGATGGTGCTACAGCAAATACAAAATACAAAAGTAAATATTTTCAATAACCATGCTCTATTTTTGTAGTCAAATTCATAAATTGCTCTAGTAACGAAAATAGTCAATGTCATGAAAAAATTAACAAGAATTTTTTTTTAAACTTCCCCAAATAAGTGACCCCCATCATAAGCCCTAAGGCTAATTATCCATAGTATAGAATAATGTATGCAATTTACTTTATAGATACTAAACGGGATTGAGAAATGTATGCAAATAAATTAAAGTACACTGACGTTTTTTGCTATACAATGTTTTTCTATTGTTAGAAAAATTAAATAAAAACCTGCTCCGGGTGTGGTGTGTGTGTGCACTTTGGATGGGATAAATGCAGAGCACTAATTCCGAGTATGGGTCACCATACTTGGCCACATGTCACGTCACTAATAAATAAAAATCAGCTCAATATTACCCTTTTATGGAAACTTTCTGACACCTGTGAATGTCTGATGACAGAACGGTAAGGTTGATTTCAGATCAGTGTAAACACAGCTGAATTCACAGTAACTAAATAGCACCATACAGCACAAATGTCACGCAATAAACAAAAACAACCTAACAACGTATCCAAGTGGGAAAAACTGAGATCCCTGCAGCTCAACATTTCTCACTTAATTTCCCAAACTATAAACAAGCATCTCACATCTGCCATTTGACATTGTGCATAAAGGCCCCTTATGGATGAGTGTGTGCTGAAGCGTACCCAGTGCATTTGTTTGTGCTTGTGTTTCCACTGACTCCCATAATGTTGCACAGACCTTTCTTTAGTCAAATAATGTGTTATGTTGTTTCCATTAGTTATTGAGAGAAACCAGCAACATCCATCTCTTTGCATCTTTTTGAAGTTACCGTGAAATCAAAAGGTCTGTTATCCAACTGTGATGACAAATCTTTGATTCAAACACACGATTATATGATGCTACTTACAGTGGAACTTCAGAGTATCCGCTCTGGACTTGACCAAGGGCTGCTCACCATTTCTTCATCAATGTGACTTAATGCGAATCTGTAACACTTCAATCATTTTTTTAAAGAAACAATATGCTTATTATTTGCAAAACGACATTTGCAGCATGGCTTTGGTAAACATGATGCCCGACTTAATGGAGCACATGTGGTGCTGTTTTTATGTCATCACGTGACCACTCAGGGACGTCTCAGCAGCTGCTGCAATTATGAATTGTTCCGACCTTAAACTGGGTTCAAAGGAGTTATGCTCTATTTTTTATCACACATGCAGGGAGATGAACACAAGCCATCTGCAGCAGAAGTTTTGCATCTGTTTTACAATCAGAATCAGAAATGATCATCTATTCAGTTTTTGTGAAGCTTTGCGAAAGAGTGAGTGGCTCAAGGTTATAAATTATGGATTTATAAATATTACAACCTTATGAAATAAACAGACTGAGAAGATGAGAGAAAATATATCAGCATTACTGCATTTACACATAACATTTGAAAACACTACTCAAAAAAATACAATGCTAATTGAACTTCAAGAAAGCTCCTGGATCTGAGTTGATCACACAGTAAACTAAAGCTAAAAAGAAGAAAGTATTGAGAGTACCAGGCGTTTTCCATTTTTTTCTGCTTCATATTTTGCACTACATTTCTTCCATTTCCATTTCTCCACTTCACCTTCACACATTTTCGTCTTACCAAACATCCTCAACCTTCACATCACCTATATCATTCCTCTTTCCTTCTTCGATCTCATTCTCTTCATCTTTCATTCTCTCCTCATCTCTT